CAGCAAAGGAAATTTAAAATGACTTCAAATTCAAGAGTTCAAACTCAAAATGACTTCAAATTGCAAAGTGCAAAACCTCTCATTTACTCTAAACAAACACAGAGTGTTACATTCAGATAGTGAAAGATAAGGTGGCAAATACTGGACCTAAAAAATGTTTATTCAAAGAGGGGTAAAATAGGTAAATGGAATGTTACAATATACAAACATATAGAATTTAAAGAGGTTCAAGTAGGTACTGTAGCTGTGTCAACATGGGCAGGCTGCAAATGAACTAGCAAAGGTTTATTCCATGCTGAAAGGAAAAGAAAGGAGACACAACATTTTGGCTGTGGAGCCTTCTTCAGGTGTGTATATACTGTAAATAAATCTTTACTTTTTCCTTTATAGAATTTAAATTAAGGGATGTTACGTTAAAATAAACTAGCAGTACCTCATTTAGAATACCATGTACAATTTTCTTCAACATAGCACAAATATTATAATTGCACCAAAATCGATCCAGACAGAACAACCTGATACATTCCCAGAATTAAAGGAATCTTTTCCACTTCCAGGCTAAAATAAATATATTTTTTTAGTTATTTTTTAGAAGACCTGGGAACCTTCAAGTATTGTATGCAATTCAGGTATACAAAATTCTTTAGAATTGAGCAAAACATAAACCATATTGCACAACTAAATAATAAAGTTAAAACTACAGGGAAGTTAATCCTGAGCATAGAAAGCACTTTTATATACAAATGGATTAAATTGTCTGGAAAAAAACATATTGAAGCTTCTTTCAAGATATGGCTGGGTGAGACCCTCAGGCGCATTAGCCACTGGTAACCAAATAATTTATTATCAAAAATCTTGATGGGTCAAATATTTTTTGCAACTTTTCCTAAGTTTTTAATGACTCTATCGATCAAAATTGATCAATTATCTATTGATTTTACTTGAGATTGATCTAAATTGATCACAATAGTATTTTTGTAAAATGTCAAGCTGACACTACCGAAAAATTGTTCAGGTAATCAACTCCAAACATGTTAGGAATAAACCTGGTGACAAATCAATTCAGTTATGCTGTACGTATAGTATTTCTTTTTCAATCTTTTTTTATTACAATACTCACACTAATAACTTGATTGATATATCTTACTATAAGCACAATGATTTTTATAAAGTATAGTAGCCATATTACCCTGCATCTCACAACTGGCAACCCACTGAAACAGGTGTGAGCCTGGTCAGTACTTGAATGAGTCACCTTCTGGGAAAAACTAAGGTTGCTGCTAAAAGAGGTATTAGTGGGGCCAGCAGGGGGCACTCACCCTGTGGTCTATGTGGATCCTAATGCCCCAGTATAGTAATGGGAATACTTTACTGTAAAAAGGTACCATCCTTCAGATGAGATGTTTAAATCGGGGTCCTGACTCCCAGGGTGTTTCTTGAAAACAATAGGCGAGTAACCCCGGTGTCCTGGCCAAAATTCCCATTGGCCCTTACTAATCATGGCCTCCTAACAATCCCCTAATAAATAAGCTTAAACTACATAATCCTAATAAGCTTCATCACACTGTTCTCATCCCCACTGATAGCTGGTGTGTGGTGAGCATTCTGGTGCACTATGGCTGTCGCATCATGCAGGTGGATGGTGCACATGTAATGGTGGAGGGTAGTCCCCATTACCTGTAAAGCGCTTTGAGTGGAGTGTCCAGAAAAGTGCTATATAAGTGTAAGCAATTATTATGAAGGATGGCAAAGTAGCAAGGTAGTTAGCACTGCAACAACAGAGCTTTGTGTCCTGGAATTTTAGAAAGACTTATGTGAGGCGTTTGCATGTTCTCCCTGTATTTTAAAAGGATTTTCTCAAGGTATTCCAGTTACCGCTCAAACACAGTCTAGCTAGGTTAAATGATGCATCTAAATTACTTTTGTTTGTATCTGCTGAGCAATGAACTGGTGTCAAGTCGAAGGTGATCTCGCACCTTACTCCTTATGTTTCCCAAATAGGCTGTTGTGATTCTTACCAGGAATGAGCAGTAGGTTATAGAAATTAATTATTCACTGATCAATATTTTTTTATTTTAATTTTTACACAAATATTTTTAGTAACATTTTTTGTAATCTGACTAATATCTGTTAAGTTAATGTTGTACTATGGTGATTATATACTAGTACCACACTAGTTCATGTCCTTGGCTAAAATTTCCCACTACAAATCAACATGGGAACTTGTTCCTTGCAGCCTACACATGCTGACACAGCTACCTACTTAAACTACTGGAAATAGGTCTTGTATGTTTTTCTTCAGAACTAACATTCATTCCGATAGATTTTACATTCCACATCGTGCTGCCCTACTGCTTTACTATAGTATTCAATGACAATGGAACTTGCCACTTCATTAAAACTGCTTTCAGTTCAGTTTTAAAGTTGGGAATTCCTAAGGACCCAATAGAGGAAGAGATGAGGGTTGATCAATCTTAGATAGTTTTCTCTTTAGTTCCACTCTTGCTCTTTCCATCCTATATACTTACTGTATAAATACAGCGTATTTATTTTATCAGATAAATAATTTGAGAAAAGTTTCTCATATACTCTATGCTGACTTGGAGACCCATTTATCAATTAAATTGCTCCAGTAAACATTGAGTGAAGTACCTTGTTCAAAGGTACACTAACAGCATTCTCCCTGGGATCTAAACTCATCTAAACTCCCACCTTTTGGGCCAAAGCCCTAACCATTACTCGACACTGCTGCCTAAATAATATACATAGCTTCCTACTTGTAAATGCCAAATTTAAAAGCCTGTGTTTTACAGCCTATACTACATGTTCAAGTCTAAAGCCAATAGGATGTGGGAGAACTACACCATAAAAGACAAAAGGATGTTTCAATGTTTCTACATTATCAAGGGACCAAAAACGTTGCTAAAATCCCATCTTTAACTGTAACACTCTCTAATTTGGAAGCAGTTCAGGATATGGCTATTGAATACAAGGGTCATATAAGTCCTGTTGACACCGAAACAGAAAATGTCTGTGAGATATCAGGGTTTTTGTGCATTCGATACTGCAGGATTATAAAAGGGGGATATTTTTGCACTTTATAAAAATCTGTAAGACATCCTTATAAAATAAACAGAGATAGGAGCAATGCAGAAAAAGTTAATAAATTTATTAACATTGTTAGTAAATACAACCCATTACATTTAACTGTATCTTATTCTAATACTAAACTGCATTTTCACTGGTTTAAGGTTTTTTTTTCCCAGGGTACATCAGACAGAAAAATATCCAAGGCTAATGTCAAGCTAAACGTCACGTCCCTTAGTCAACAGTAGGGGTAATTACATTAAATGTTTTAAGAACTAATTGTCTGCAATTTCAGTAAAAATCGAACAAGACAGAAGCATTTAAGAGGAAGGTTACGTCTGTTGACATGGTAGTTAGGAAAACACCAGCAATGATAATCAAATTCCAAACTATTGCTAGAAAAAGTACATACAGAGCTTTAGAAAGTTGTCTTTCACATTGAGATTTTATGTTAAGTACAAGCAGCAGTTACATTAACAGTCACAAATCTTAACAAATTTGAGATTTTGTTTTAAAGAGAACTTCAGTCTGGCTTTGTGTGTGTTAAAAAATACACTTTTATCACATGATATATATTATTTAAGTTTATGTATTTGTAAGTATATTGTATATACACCATATACTGTACAAACATATACTGTACATACACTATGTTGTTGAGGGTGTGTACATAGCATCTGAAATGCTGCAACTCTTTGGTACAAACATGTGCATCCTGACTAATTCATTTTTCTGAAGAGTCATCTGCATACATGTTCACACTAAAGTACACTTCATACGGAGACAACTTTGATGCAGGCTGTGCACACTGTATTGACAGGCAAGGCCAACTATATAGTGACTGTCAAAAATCAAACCATCTATACAGTGTCCTATTTATTTTATTAATTCACAGCACTATTCTTATTCTACTTGTGCGCTAGTCAAGGTGACAGTATACATGTGTGGCCGAGGCCAAATGGAAAAACAAACTGCCAATAATGAAGTGTGTCTCGTACAGTAATTTATAGCTGTGGCTGAAAGTCCACTCCCACACTCAATAAAAAACTCTTTCAGGCACATTTCGTCAAAGAAAACGCCTTACATTGCATAAATTCAACTGTAAGAGTTGTTTACACACACAGCAGAAAAAGCAGAAAGGATGAGCTGGTGATTACATAGATTTAATGTGATAGTCAAAGCCCTAGTCTAGAACACAAAGCAATTAAATGCATTTTTCAATATCTCAGAATAAATTATTTTATTCAAAACAACTTCTGAATGCTCTCACAAATTCTGCTGCATAAAAACAACAATGCCAAATTAAAATTATATCTTGTATGCCATTACCATCAAAACCCAGTCCTTTCCTAACATGGCAGAGTCTCTGGCTTTGCAGGCCTTACCTAAGAAGGAAACCATGTCCAGTCCCATGACAATGCTAAAACAGCATTTGATGACTAGTGGTTCACAAAGAATCAGACTGAGAAGATGAAGGCACCGCTCTTCGAAGAGGGGACTACTTTTGACACAATACTAAAGCAATGTGCATAACTAGTATGCAACGGTTGGTGACAATAGGATGTGTATAGGTTGCCACCTTTCGTCAAACAGAAACCATATAATTTTAACAGTCTGCATGTGTGCAACAAAGGAATTCTGAAATGCTATAAAAGGGCTGTGTGAGTAAAGCATGGGAAGTAGGAACACCAAACGCCGTTTTGAGATTAACATTAGATTGTTGCAGCAATGCAAAAGCTATTATGATATCGTGCAGAGAGACAGAAACTGCTTTTAAAAAATAAAGCAGGGTAGGACTCAAGTATGGAATAATGCTCAGAGTAGTGGTGTTTCCAGCTACACACTATGGACAATGGCTTCAGCAGTACTCCAGGCCGTGTCTGCTAACTGGTCAAGATTTTTTTTTTTTTTTAAACACCATCTGCTGTAGTTAAAAAAAAACAACAGCAGAATTATAAGAGGTTTCTGCTCCCAAAGATGTTATCGGGGTCCAAGTATTCCTTCACAGACTTCAGCATTCCCAGGCCAACATCCGAGATAGTCTCCGGCAACCAGTGCTTGCGTAGCTTGCCCACTAGAAAAAAAAAAAAAGGAAAAGAAACAGAATGCTTGAGTGTTCAGCAGGCTGCTGGGAGCCAATCAATCTTGCAAGTGTGAGTGAATAAACACTGCGTGATAAATGCTTTTATTCAAAAATGAGAAATGTTTTGCATTCCATGATTTATGGAGCCCACCAGACTATCAAACTCATTAGGCTCAATGCATTCCCAAAGGAAGGCTGCACTGCTGCACACTGTCTAGCTTCTGTGCAATCTGGGAAAAGTAGATGAAAGTTGGGGTCCAGATACTATGCCATTTTTACAGACATCAGACTGATGGTTGTGAATTATTTAGCAAAACTGCATCCGCATGGCAGTTTCCCTGACCATCAAAAGACCCCAGCAGTAAAAACTCTTTTCTAAGATGTTCGTAAAAGGATGATATGTATTGTTCCTCCACTATTGAAACATATGTTGTAGCTGCTGTGGCCATTTTCTGACTGTGGGGGGAAAAAAGAACAAAACGCATACAATATGCACTGTTTCAAACAGGGCTGGCTTTCTGCCATTATTCTGAAGAAGTGGCACAGAATCATTCAGGGTCCATATTATTTTCTGATCCAAGATCTACCAGCTGCCCAAACAGACAGTTCAGTTCTTGCAGACTGCCAACGCAGAATTCCTGGCTACCAACCCACTTAAAAAGGCAGTTCCAAGTACTCTCTCTGGGATATTTAGATGTGCCCCATACACCAAATGGTCCTGCTTCCACAAAAATACATTTAAATGGACACCAGAGGACAGATGCAGAAAAATCATGAATGTTCTTCAAACTTTGGCAAAATGAAAGCCCCAATCTATCAACTAACATTTTCATAATTTCCATTTTTCTCAAAGTATGGTCTATGCTCTTCTAAATTGTCAATTAAATGCACTTCTCAACAAATGGTTTTTGAGCTGGCAACTGGGATTGTGCACAAATAATGCCCAGTACCAGAAAACCCTTTTTGCTGGTAAGGATGACAGGAAACAGAAGCAGCATCCTAATGTTAACAAGATGAAAAGAGCTGACATATCGCCTTACTCTTTTTTTCGTAAAAAAGGATTGTTTGCACACTACAAGATTGACCTATACTGTGCATTTAGTGTAAACGTGTATCTTTTGGAAAAAGCAGCATTATCTTGTTTTGATCACAAGCTGAATTCACCCTCAGTATTTTTCCATCCAGCTTTATATGTGTATTTCATTATTTCTGCTACAGTCCCTCTCCTTCAAGGAAAAACCTCCCAGAAGATTATTCATAAATATTACATGTTCTCCTGCAGTCAATATTTTAATGTTCTTGGTTAATACAAGCTGCATATCTTTTATAACATATATATATATATCTATGCTTGGCAAGCTTAAAACACATAGAACATAGAAAATTTAGTTTAGAAATTCCAAATGTACTGTATTTCCTATAGTACCTATACAGTAGAATTAAGACTAATTAGATCCTTAAAACAAAAATTTAGCCTTAACCTTGTAATGCTGTAGAAAATGAAGCACTCAATACTAAACTTGAACAGTAAATTCTAATCTTCACTTGTATAAAAGGATGTTGACTTGCACATGATCTTGGGCCTGTTTTCTGAGCATTTCAAAGATCCTTACATAGTAGGAAAGATTAACCAGCACTGTATTAAATTAAATTTAAATTAAATTGCATTACATTTTAAAACTATAAAATCAACTACTTTCAAAACTTTCCTGCAAGTCTCTGACATTTAAAATTAAATTTTCATCATACCAGAAAAAACATTAATATTGGCAGTATTATATAGTATTTGCTATATAATTTCTTTCTTTTGTTATGACCCAACTTTTGGTATTTCCGTGTTAAATTTGGGATGGTGTTACAGTTTATCCCGTCTAAAGAGCGTCTTTTCACTTATGTGATTCCGAGAGTGGTTGAAATTACTCATTTGACTCTTTTGAAGTATCGAATAGTTATCTGTCAGAATATCGAACGTTGACAAGCCACAGAATTCTTTCAGTTTAATTGAACGTGCTATTATCCGTCCTGCTGGTAAACAACCATATTTCCTTATGAAAGCTCCTGTCATACACAACGCGGTCATTTTGAAATGAGCTTTGGGAATCCCATGCCAACAAAGGCCAAGTGACTCATTTCTTCTACAAGTCCGATGTGTGGAACAATAAATCTGCGTGACACAGTGACAGGATTAGTAAGCTAAGGATGATCATGAAATTTGAATTTAATTAATAGATTCAGTTCACATGCTGTGGAGATCCCCACACTCCCTTAATCTAACCCTTATGAGCGTGCCACAGAGGTCACTCAGAACGGTACATATTGCATTAAGAGGCAGAGACCCCAAAGCTCCTACACTAATTGCTGGAGTGGAGGGGAAAAAAAAGGAAAAAGCAGAACAGATATAAATATGAGGGTATCTCCAGAGATAAAGGGTTCACCCAGGACAACACAGTGTTATTGTAGACTCTGTAAACATGGCCTGTGATTACAAATGTAATCAGCTAGAGAAGATGGCAAAGCAGCATCCCCTGACAAGATGGGACAGACGAGAGACCACACAGGCCACAGCGGTGCCAGCTTGTGCGCTTCAACCCTTTGAGCATCCGGTTCCAGATGGGATCTCACCCAGAGTACAGAGCAGTCACCCAGTCAACAGCCCCTGAATATTTAACAAAGTATCTTGCAAGCTTCCCAATCACCAGCCACCCCCCCCTTCCCCTTCAATGGGGAAAAAAACAGAAGGCAGTTGGAGTGCATCATTAGCTCTGTCACAGTGATAATTTACACATCTATCTTGTCAAATTTCCTCAGTTTTGGGTGCTATTGTAATAAATCTAATAGAGTTTTGATCAGGCAGATGAAAAATGCCAAGAAACATACACACCATGTTTGGAATTTAAAAAAGAAAAGAGGGGCATTTTTTTAAATAAAGCACAAAGCTACCATGTAAATGCTCAGTTATAATGCGTGATCTATTGGGGTAAAAGAATCACAATCATCAAATTCAGATAGACAGTTTAGCTCAAAGATAAGAAAAATTCAGTATTTTGAAGATTTATAACAGCACGCAAAACTATACCTTTTCATACTGTACACACATGCTGAACTTCCACAATTTGTTAAGAGTTTAAGGCGATTTTATTTTTTTCAAATAAGGAAAGGAAAACACAGATTTCCCACTAACACACTGCACAGATGTGCGGTGATACAGCACAAAGCAAGATATCAAAGCTAGTTAAAAGAAAACCTCCTTAACTGGTCTAATATGGCAGGACAAACAGCAAAAGTTAAAAGGACAGAGTTAAAGTCAATTGGTGAGCGTGATTGATTTAGTCTTGAGGTGATTAATGTTCTACAACCTTTCTACTTCAACCTTTACTGACCTAATAAAACATTACATTTCCTTAAAGAGAGAGTTTAGAGCCTCCCCCATTTCAGAAAACACAGCAAACCTTAATTCAGTAAGTTACTCCTTACCGTGATGCAAACATGCAAACAATTAGCTTGCCGTTTCAATACGTATAAAACCAGCTGGATGGAATTACAAATATAGTTTGGATTGAGATTTCTGTTTCTTTGCATAATTAAACATTTTATTAAAAATGCTTTCATGCATATGCATGTTCACAACCAGAACATTTTTTTTCATGCTCATTTAATTGATGCTCAAGAACAGGAAATTCATTTTAAATTTCAGAAATAATATTTTCTAAATATTACATTTGGCACTACTATAACCACATCTAATTAGATTACTCAATTTTGAACATTTTATTAAAGAACATTTTGTGCATTATGAGCATCATGAATGTAAGACATGGTACAAAAACATCGGACTTGCACACTCTAGAAAGAAAGATCTACAGTATGTGTTATGCTAGTACTTCTATTTAGGTTTGTTACCAAATAAATTGACTGATGTATCATGCAAGCAAAAGAGATTAATAAAAAACATTACAGATAGTTAAATGTTTGCTTTTAAGAAGTGATAGAATCTGAATTTTTAAATGTGCTGTCCTGTCTACGGCTTTGCAGGTATAAATTCTCTTCATTTTGATTGTTACATTGGGCAACAAGAAGAACACTCCACGTTTGGGTTAGTTGTTGTAAACACTGGGTTAAAAATAATTTATATTTCCTTCAGTGCCCTCCCACCTTGCAGTCCCAGACTACATCTGTTTTCTTTGATACACAAAACCGAGTTAAACTAGCCCCATTTGTCACAGTGTGATTGTGGGCAGACAAACCAGTCTGTCTGTATCCAGATAGCAAACCCAACTGTTATTAATCACAATTACAAGCAAGGCTCTAGAAGAGAAATTGCATCAATATTCCCTTTTCTCACAATGACAGTTAAGTGCTCAACTGAGAATGTCAGGGCCAGGATTTTGGGTCAGTAAATAAGACTGATAACAATAGGATCATTTACAGTAGCAAGCTGATTTTTTTTTATTACCGATCTTTTAATTTTGAAGCTTCCCCGCTTTGATAAATATTGGGATTTAATATCCTAACTGATTCATTACAGGGTCTTTCTGACATACGTGATTAATAGCACAGAGTGATATATGAAAACAGTAAAGCGGATGGCAATATAGATAAGGCAGCCATTTCGTCTAAACCTGATAGGGTAGTTTTGGTTTTTTTTTCACATTTCATTTTGTCTATGTCTAAATGAACAAAGAGCAGTCTCATGGACATTTGTCTATTTTCTGTGAACTTAAACATATGTCCTGGACTGTGTAGGTGGAAGGTGTTTTAAGAAATGTTTCAGATAAACAAGACAAATTAAGGACAAAGGCACATTCTTGCCAGGCTTTTTCTGTAAGATCTGTAAGAGATTCGTTTTCCTACATTTTTGGAAATAGCTCTTAAATCATTGTGAAAAACAGACATGGCATAACATTCTGACCACAGCAAACAAAATAGGTATCACTATTATTTTGTCTGTTTTGGCAGTTTTGAAATAGCAAACTTGTTTAACTTTATCTCTGCAAGACCTCCCTGCACAACTTTCATTTCTTATGCAACTGGATGGCTACCCTTATTAATCAATCCAAAGGGTTGTGTGCAATCTACTATGTGTTGCCCTACACAACATATTCTAATTCAAAAGGAAAAAGCCACCACACAGATGTCCACCATGCAAGATCCAAACGCACAGATACAGTAGGTCACAGTACCTCCATGATGATGTGAGAGGCTTCCCCCATTGGCAAGTATCTCATCCCGTGCAGCATGCTGAAGAAAAGAGGGAAATCAATCAATCAATATAATCAATGTGCTTACGCTGACTCGCACCAAGGACGAAGATCTTTCATTTAGACAGATTTTCTTTGTGTATGCCAATACAAAACAATACCTTCAATTTCAAAGTGTTACAAAAAGGATTCTGGCATTAATTTGAAAGCACAAACTATAAAATTCTGCTTTCAAATATCCTTTATCTTTACCTCATCCAGTCCCATTCTTTTCTTTCGAAGTCTGGGTACCTCGCTTATTACTTCACTAAGAGTAAGTATTGGACAAATTGAAGGCATCACATTTTTCTTTATATACAGTATTTTATCTTCCACAACAAAACTACAAACAAGCATATGTATCTGACTTCCTTCTGAAGTCACAATCTGTTGTGTAAATAGCAAGTGTAACACAAAAATAATGTAAAAATGCAAGAAATGGTATCATTACTTCAATTTGGTCATAAACAACGATGGGATCACTGATTCCTCTGTAGTTGAAGGCAAAATAGAAGTAGATGCAAGCACCAGCGTCATAGGTCTGCGTTACCCTGCATCAGAAATGGTCATTTTAGTGCTTGAACATACATATAAACAATAAGAGGATATTCTGAGACAATACAACATAACTAAAACAATGAAGCTTGCATCACCACTTGTCAAAAACCTTGTAAGAACCTGCAGCAAACAGCAGAACCTACAGTAAATAATAGGCATTTACAATTATTCTTAATGAATACTGAAGGTGTTTACAAGACTGCAAGAGAGAGATTTATAGAAAACAGACTAATGGTTGAAAGAACCTGGAATACTTGTATGGCAGTATAAACAGGCTACTACTAGAATGATTTTTAAATTGGCTTATTCCAGTTGTTTATTGATTATACTCTTCTTATATTGGACTAACCATTGTAGAATTAGAAGAAACACATGCAGTTTCTAAAGCAATACAGTGCAGGCTAAACAGAAGCATGCTATGGATAACTACCTTCATCTGATATAAAGGTACAGATTAAAAGATTTTGTGTTTGCTGTTATAGAGAGACTTAAATAGAAAATACTTTTTTCAAAATGAGCCCAGATTTAAGTATTTAACACAAAAAAATGTTTTCATTGTTCCAAGCTCTTTTACTAAGATAATAACCAGGCGTTTTCTAAAGACAAATTTATATAAAGTACAATGCCACATTGCCAATAATTTTCTTATTTCTATATTTTGCACAACAATGTAGGCTGTCTTAAAATGGCAAATGATTTACTGGAATCTTTTTTACTGCAAAGATGTTTCAGATATGTTTCAAAACTGAAATTAATCAAACCTGCAAACATAATTTTACCTTCCCTCAAATACACCTGCCACTGATGAAATTCCATTCTTGAAATTCCAAAGGCTTTGTATTTATTAAAGGGACATTGCTTTTACTAATCCAAATAATTTTTTATTTAATAAAAGCATTTAGAAATGAAAAAAGGGGCACGTTTTTCATTAACCACCTCTGACCCCAATCCTCGTAATGTTTTTACAAATACAGCTGAACCGCAATGGATCTGTCACATTTAATCTTGTCACATTATCGTTCCATTAAACAGCCATCAGCAATGGACTTTTATTTGATTAACAGAGCTACAGTACCTTTTACATTATGTAAGGCAACTGACTTAAACCACTTTGCTTTTCTTCTTAACCACTGATATAATTATAAACATCCCATGGAAGAAAAAAACTCAATTCATTTAAGAGTTTCATTTTAAATAGAGCCTTAACTTAGAAGAACGTTTGCTGTATTCATTTTGCTTGTTAAATTTTGTATAGTGGATATAAACTCACAATTTTTTTGAGCTCACAATTACATTTTTCCATTCTGATTATTCAATGATAAACTGGGAGAAACCACTATAGAAGAGGCGCTGCACCAGTTTTCTAAGTATTACTAAGTACACTTACTGACAACATAAGAATATTAATACATTTGGTTTTATGTCACAGGACTTTTATCACTTAAGACTGAAGTTACACTATTTCATTTCCTTCCTAAAACCTACTCATACATCATGAACCAAATTGTTACCTTGGTTTCAAATACTAACATATCCATTATTTTATAGGAAAATGATCAACAAAACAAAAGTGCACTATCACACAAAAGTAAAGAAGTGCTTTACAAAACGGTAAGCAGTCATGTTGGTTTCGTTCAACTCAAAGCGAAGAGTGCAGTCATCTGGGTTGTTTTGTTATAAATGTCCCTGTTCAAAAACATTACTCCTGCAATGCTCTCTCTCCTGGGCAGCAGGCCCTCCGTTCTCTCCCCACGTCACTCAATGCTGTGTCTTTTATAGAGGTTAAATGCTCAAATCAATCTTGTCACAGACGAAAGCCTACTGGGTGCAAGGGAAATGAATGCCAGAAGAATAATCAAGTGCCAATGTAATCTCTCCGCAAGAGAAAAGGGACTGCACTGTTACTTGTCAATGTCTTTGGCTGGGTCAAAGAGGAAGGTCATAAGTGCTTGCAATTTAACCAGTAGAACCTACTGCACAGATTCCCATTAAAGGACGCTGAAGCTTAATAACAGACAATCACAAACATCAGTAAAGCTACTTGGGCTTGCCTGCACTGAAAATGCGTGCCAAATCGGGTATTTTTCTTACAGTATATCCCTATCATAAAATCAGCTTGTCAATCCTTTGATTGGAAGGTTTGGAACTAATCCTGGACCACCTTTTATTCTTAGGAAATCTAGGAAAGAAGGAGCTGGCTTATCAAGGAAGTTCCTACCACAGAACTGAAAAATTCTCATCAGGGTTGGTCATAGGCCGTTTGACATACATGTGCATTATTACGTTTACTGCCTTCATAATGGGTACATTTGTAAGCTCTACATTATTGGGAACAGTTTATAGTCAAGGGACCTAGAAATTAAAGAAACATCAATTCCTCAAATGCCATACCTGCATGTGGACAAAGGGGGAAACTGGACTCCCCTCTCCTTGCATTCTCTTACAATCCGCTCTTTGACATTATTACAGAGATCCAGGACCCTAGAAGTGGACAGCAAAAAACAACAATTTTCAAAATCTGCCTTTTCATTTCATGAGGACTAAAAAGAATTCAAAACCTGATTTGCTCATTATTTTATATTCCTGAGTAGGAAGGTCTAGATAAGAAGTCACTGTTTTTCACTGTAGGAGTCCATAAGAGAAGAGAATAAAACCATTTTTTTCTCACTGTAAGGCAATCACACTACCCCGGAGTAGAAAATAAGAATTTTCAAAAACAGCACATCATTACTGTTGTAACATTCTTGCTGTGATGGGATTCCACTCACTACTAATGACTGCCACTCCCCACAAAAAGCACTGGGCCATGACACACTAGCAGTATAATGGCCTCTCTTGCATATGTTCATCCATAAAGGCTTTTGAGTGCATCATCCATGGAGAGACAACATCAGAACAGCTGCATACATTACTTTTCCTTCTCCTCATCAAACAGATTTTAGGAGCCGTGGTAAAAAGCAGTGTGACTAGTCATAATATGACAGGGTCTGTTCACTTTAAGTAAAAGCGCCCTAATCAAGTGTCACCCAGTGGCAGTTTAAGCCTAAAAGGAATGAATTAATGCAAAATTGGGTACTGGGGTGTTTCATATGACATAAAATATATATAATGGAGGGCTGAGGCCCAAAGCAAAAATATTTTTTTTTAACGGGGAACACTTCATAAACTACATTCTAATCCCTACACAGATTCAGCCGTTTCTGTTATACAAAAAACAGTCGACGACAGAAACTGAAGACATGGAAAATGTCAGCTAATGGTCTTTTACAGCAGAAATATTAATACAATATTTCTGCTTTCCACGAGCTGTATGCACTCACAGCAGACCAATACCATAGTGTTACTTATGGCTGACACCTACAGAGTCTTTTAAGCCCTTTCATTTAAAAAAAGAAAGGAATATTTCATGGCTAAAAATATAAGACTCGCATTTTAATTGAGCAAAGACAAATTGCACAAAATCAGATGACATGCTGATCAGAAGACCTTCACCAGAGCATTGAGGTCACAAAATGGTTTCAGCTATTTATAAGTCCAATAAATGTGTTCATAATTAGCTAATTTCTGTTCAAGTGTATAACAATAACATGAAAACCCTTCCTTTCAGTCAATAATCAAATCGAATGATTCTTATTCATACTGAACTTCACAAAATATAGAGAATTTCATTTTTAATATTTGTTAAACATTTCTGTTTATATTAAATTAATTTGTGAAATTTTTTCATCTCAAGAAACAAAAACTACACTAGATTTAGGCTGTTTAGGCAGACTTTTAATTAGTTTTTTCTCCTTTTCTATATTTTTTATCTCTGCTTATTTCTTTTCAATGTTATTTGGATTTTTTACTCTGTGAAGTGTCCTAAACACTACTGGTGTACAAGACTACTGAAACAAACCTTTTTTGTAAACTGAAAATAAGCCTTTACTAAAATGAAATTCTTGCCACAACAAAACTGTGACTGTTTCTGGAGGAATGAGTTTACTAATGAGTGTTTCGTAAAGGTTTGATGGCCAATTTTTAAAATTTGAGCTGTTTTGAAAAGTAGCAGACAGAATACATATACAAATCCAAAGAAATAGACAATACAGCTACCTATAATACACTTACCTGTTCAATTAAACATCATTCTTGTATGTGTGGTTGCATCAACACAACACAATACTAGCGATACACTTAATATACAGTACATGATATCTGCAATGATCCAAATCAAACAAATATTGTAGTACTAGTAGAAGGCATTTTAGCCCAGCCTTTGTACTATTTTATACATACTCTATATACTGATGACATATATAACAAGAAATCAAGGCAAGGCTAACATTTGCATGCCTTTTTATATGACAATGAGGTTAAATAAAGTTTATCAAACTATAACCTAATCAAAGGAGAGTTGCTGAGAGAAACACTAAACATTTTACACCGGTAGTTAGTAAACTGAGGTGCTCCTTTTTAGCTCAGGAGACCTCTGGAAAAAGAAAAAGCTGCAGGCAAAGCACACATGCTGGTCCCACCAGTATTTTTCTCTATATTTGGTCAATATGTGGAGACAATATAACAAAATTGTCTAAAGAATGCTCCAGGTCAAAGACTGCACCCATGTTTCTCCAATGTAAGCATCTGTCCTTCATTGCAAAACAAATATATAAAAAACATTTGCCAAATTGGGTGTTCTTCAATACAGGGCATGATTAAAACATCCAAAACATGATTTTTGACATTTCTGACATTTTTCCCCCATGTCTAATGTAGCCAAGATATTCACAGTTTATATTAAGCTATAAAACTGTGAGAACTGTAGAGTGTAACAAGGAAAGGCCATAGTGCACATTGTTGGCTTGTCTCCCAATGCCAATTTACATAAAAATGTGAGAAAAAATAAAACCTACCCAATTTGGTGGTACAGATTTTTTTCACACATTGAAAAACTTTAAAAGAAAGGGAAACTATTTACCTGTCCCAGGGTACAGATGTCTCAAATGATTCACCAATCACATAATAGTCCATTCCCAAATCCTACACAAAAATAATGTTAATTGTGTATGAGCCTGGGAAAGCAACCACGAGTATCATACCACAAAACCTTAAGTCCGATATCTAGTACAATGTTGCAAAAAACGTGATTAAACATTTGTACATTAAAAGTAAAAACAAATTGTTACATAATGCTTGAAAGATAACATGATGAATTACCTACAACAAATCATGGCTCCCTCAATGTTTATTATGAGAAATAAAGTTCAGTACTGTATGTAACCAAATATCTTACACACTTAATGACTTGAGAGGTATTCAAAGACAGATATTTACTAAACCCATGTTATCCACTTTATAGCACACTCAATAAATTCCTGGTAAGACTTAAGTCAATCACAGGCAACACCAACATGCTATATTTTTACCTTCGCTTTCAGTTACGCTAACACATAAACTATTGTAACTGTCAGTTAAAAGGTTGACCTTCGCATGTTCAATATTTCAGTGATAAAGTTTATTAGTTTAATGCTTAACTGAAATAGTTTTCCAAAAACAGGAGCTTCAGTTTATTATTAGTAAAAGTGTGTATATGGCTAACAACTGATTCTTTGTGTCCTGACAAGTAAAATATTTAGTAGCCAGTCACTGTGAGCAGAAGCAGTTTTCCCAAGCTGAAATGTGATTTGAGACCCGGTGGAAACTGCACAGATTTATAAATTTGAGATAAGCTGTCAACAGCCTCCCAATCATGGATTAAGGCTATTCTTTCAAACCAGATTCTTTTAGGCCTCTGCACTCCTTGAGAGAAAACGTCTCTGTGGCTGTGCTATTCTGCCACTGATGCACAGTGTTTCTTTCAGCTCTGAAGAAATGTGGAGCTTTGAAGACTCAAGAGCCTTTTTCTCAAGAGTCTGACAGGCTTTAAAGCAGTGATGAAATTTAGAAGGCAGGGCGACTTACCCGAAGGTAAGCAATGACAAATGTCAGCATGTAACCCCTTTGCCCATTGTCCTCTCCAGCTGCCAGGCCTCTGAAATTGGATAACACAGTTAATATTTAACACTCTTTTCATTCTCTCTGCCCTCTGATAACACAGCTGTCTTCCTGTTAAACCTTGACAGTCAATAACAAAAAAGATCAATGGAAAACCCTTCAATAAATTCATAGATGCCAGTGCCTATAAATCACTGGTTTGTGTTCAATAGCAGCAGTGAATAATCAAATTTAGATTTAGTAACAAAAAAACAAGCTACAAAGGACTCTTTGCAAATTCACTTTCATCCCTTAAGAGCTGGAACGGACTATGACAATTATGAAACACCCATGTGTTTCTGTCAAATACCAAAATTACAAAGGTTATACTTATATAATATTATACTTATACTTAATATTTACAATTTGGTGACTCACCCCCACACCAGCATAAAACAATGTAATAGTTATCATCTATTATCTTATATTCAGTGTAGGGAAAAAAAGCAGTGTATTTAATGAGCTCCAATAAGTCAGCATTATTTAGAAATGTGGACTTGAATACATTGCAGTTAAAAGAAGCAAATGTAGCAGCAATCTTAAATTCAGAAATAAAAAATCAGGTCTAACCACAATAACCACCAAAAAAGGGCAAATAAAACCAATGGCCACAAGCAGAAAAGCTGTTTGGTGTTTATACAAATTAGGACTTTTCTATGCTTTTACTAGTGTTCTCAACCATTTTTAAAAAATCTTAGTTAAGTTAAGGTTTGAAGCCCAGCGATGAAATAAAATGGTTACTATTCAGTATAACTTGGGGTTCAAAACACATAACAGTCGAATACGCCTAAGGGTTCCTTCAAACATTAAGTGCACTGTTTGAGACTGCCCATGTTCTGGCTATGGTCTCCTTTGATAAGTTCCAGCTGCACCATGTCACCAAACCAAATATATGACTGCATGTAAATCTATCCAATTTCACATTCTCGGATGGTGATAAAAATCAAGGGAAGTACAAGAGTGCAAAGGAGAAAGTGTAATAGATAAACATCACCATAATTAAAGGTCTTTCCAATTCTCACAATGCCCAGGGACACTCTTGTCAGATTTCAGCCTCACAAAAAAAGGGTTCAGGTTCTCCATACATTTCACAGCAATGTCAAATCTCACGATCAATTAAGGAAGGGTGAAATAGTGCGCCTTTTCCTCATGGAGCGTAACATTATTCTGTCCTGTGATATTTACTTTGATTTGCATGACTGCAAATTTTAAAGAATTATTTGGGGGCAAGCACACTACATTGAACAAACAGTGCGAAATATGTTTGGAGAAGAGAAAACTAGTCGTTTGAAACCAAAATAAAACTAGAACAGGATGGGAGCCATATTGTACCAATGAATGTGAATGGATTTGAAAACAAAATTATGACTATTTTTTAACAGAAAATAATTGCCATTAATAATTCCTTTTGAGAAGGGTGGAAGGGGTGGGGGGGAGGCTTTCGTTATCTCTGACAGATAAATAATTTCCACCAGGGTTTCTATCGATCTGCCTCGTAATCAATCAGAACGGGCAGAAAAAAACACCCCTCCATTACTCAACACGTTCACAAAGTGAGACATTTTCTGTTTCTCTCTAACAGTACAAAACCACTGATGACAAGGGGAGGACTACAAGTAATTTGTCAAACTTTTGTTTATACCCAGTTTCCTTCTCAGTACACACAGCTGGAAGGCTGTGAGACATTGTTCAGCAAAAAGTGCTCTGATTCAACCCATTTCTTCAAGCCAATCTAAAGCCAATTAAACCATCACTCCAGTTGACTCACACCGAGTTTTTTGGGGAAAAAGTTAATAATCTGAAGAATTTCCTAAATTTAAAAAAGCGATTGTGGAAAAACCAAAGTTTGGGGACACTTCAAAAATATAAGATTTTTATTTGACTGGCAGGTCTATTGTGTACTTAATTATCAGAAATAATAAAAAAACTGTTAAAAAGTGGTAGAAAATAATGGACACTGCATGTGGGTGTATTTAATGACAAGTATTTGAATAAAAAAATACCACTTGATGATCACATTCCTTTTACTGCCCTTTAGCAAACACTTCAGTAAATTAATCACATATGATCTTATGAATGATGAAGGAGAGAAAGACAAATGACACTCACCCAAACTTTGCTGCAATGTCATAGACCTGTTTCTCATGCTGAAGAACCATTTCCCGATCACCTTCAAACAACAGAGTAGCCACACACAACTGGTTTGGGTCAAATCCTTTGAACTGGGAAAGAGGATATAAATAAAGCAAATAAGGTTTGGTCTGGTTTTTTTAGATTGTTTGTTCTTCAAGAATGCTTTGTACTTGGAATTTCAAAGTGACAGCGGCCATATGTGGTATTTGCATGGAAAGAAGAGACTGACCTTTGTGATATAGAATTTTTTCAGACCATCCAAGAAAGAAGTAAAAATCGAAGATACTTGGGGTTTCAGAGCATGTCCTACATTAGAAAGGAAGAGGAGAAGAAAAGTAAATTATCTCAATAAGGAATAGAAAATAACATTAACCTTTTTTTTTCCATTCTAGGAACAAAACACTTATTAGGCTACAGATTTCTATCAAATGAAACATTTTTTAAATTGTTGAATAACTTCTGCTCTCTCATTTCCCAGGACAGCAATGGGAAAAGACTTATTTGGTTTTGAAGAACAAGAATCAACAGTTTCTGCTGGACAATATTACAACTTAGAAGCTACACACACAGTAACACTAAATCTTTAGAATACTGAAAAATGTTTAAATGCCATGGCAGTATCTTCATTAGTATTTTCATCATTCTTATTGAGACAATTTCTGTGCAGGACCTCAAACAAACAACAGGAGCCAGATGTAACTTATCAATCAAAATGAAAAAGTCATCACCAGCACTGTGGAGATTAAGGACATTTTAATCAGGCCGAATTTGTTTTGTAGTTTCTACAGCATCAAGCCAAGTTATAAAATTATGTGCAAGTACAGATAATTTTGTTTTGAACAAAAGCCGAATTCAAAGCTTGTTTAAAGAATGATAATTCTTTCTTCATACACACATAAAATAAAATGATCAGTTTTAAAGTTCTGCTAAAAATGTCAATCTGGATTAATATGAGTATACAGCCATTAACATGTAAAATATGAACTATTGGCAAAACTTGGTAAGGTGTGCATATAGTTGTTAGCCACTTCAAAAACTAACAAGGATGGAATTAATCAAAAAAACATTTTTAAAATTTAACGTAACACTAAACTGCTTGCTCTCATTTCAGCCATTTAATATTGAACCACATTCAAATCACTTATTGGCAATGGCTTCTTTTTAAGGCCAAACATAGGGTGAAAAGCGAAAGGCCATTTAATATTTCATACATCACCATACAAATATTCAAACTGTTAACTGTCCCCCGGTCAGAGGTATAACCACAAACGTATTACATACACAATCCTAAAGCTTTTTGTATAGAGACATTTTAGCAAAAGAAAAAATAAAGAGCATTACAAGGTAGAAATAAAATCACTAATAAGCTCTATGTGTACTGAATTAAGGGCTAGGATTTTAAAGGAAAAGAAGTGATTCGTTTTCAAGCTTTACAATTAGGAGCATCTCTTGCAACTGGTTTGTAGTCTTGTTATCGATGAATAACATTTTACCCTAAATTTACATCTCGAGTTCATCAATATATCAATAGTTGCATTCAGTTTAGAGATTCAGATGCCTCACATCATACTTGTCTCACAAAAAGTTAGAGCAGCCAAATACCTGATAAACCAGTTAAGAGGGAAAGGATAATTAAGGAATCAAGACAAAGCATTAACTGGGAGTTATAATATGGCTCCATATTTTAGTTGTTAGCAAAAACCCTGGAGACATTACATCTTTCCTGCTTAATGCTAAGAAGTGCAAACACTGTAGAAATCTTGAAATATATTGAAAGTAATGAGGTCCCATGGGAACTACACGCTTTCTAAGGTTGACTGCTTTGGGCAAAAGGCCAATATTTTCACTGAAAACATAAAAAAATGATACAAAACTGTAATAAAACAGAAAACTAATTGCTATAAAGGTTACTTTAGTCATCCTTATATCTTAAATATATGTGTTAAAATGTAAGATCATAAAAATGATAATAAAATATAATTTAAGTAAGAGGACAGAATATCAATGCAACTATTGCAAAACCTTTTTTGATTTTCTTCCTTGTTTGATTAATAATAAAATGCATGTCAAGCACAACCCCATGAATACCAAAATACAGGAGGTCAACTGATGTACTGTAATGCAGGTGACTGGATGTCTTCCAAACAACAGTACCAGGTGTGTGTACGCATTTCAAAGTCAGACAGATTCGAAACCCTCTCAGTTTCTTAAGTTATCCAGCGACAAGCTGTTTACAGAAGACCTGACAACAAAACCATGACAAGGTTTTAGTACGTGTTAATTTATTTCTTTAATATTACATCAATAATGTATTGAGAGTCACAATTCTCACCCAAAACAAAGATTTTATTTCCCCAGTTTAGCCATAAAAAAAAGGAATGCAACAAGAACACCTGAAAAACACCTGCCACAGTTAGGTTAAAGATAAATTTTACTCCTTCCATTCTTTATCCCATGATAATGACATAAAAGCCATGGTTGACAACAGATTTTTCCTACTTTTTACATTTACTGTGCACAACTGATTAAACAACACTAGAAGACGGGCTTGTACCAAACAGAAAAACACTGAAGTGCTGTGTTTGACAAGCAGAAACAAAGGTCACAGCCTCTGTAAGATGGGAAGGAGAGAGGCAGGGGTAGTACAATAACTCACTGGCGATGACGGATTAGCCTTGAGGAAAAAAATGATTTCGTAATGAAGTCTGAATCTTAGCAAGAGCAGTTCAACATTAAATACAACCGTTCACAAACGCAAACCTTTTATGATTATTTTTTTACCACGTTAATGGTATTCTATCATTTTTCAAATTAAACAGTACTGTGTTTCCCAAAGAAAAAAAAGACTACGGAATAAATTCACAATCAAATAATCCAATATAGACCCTTCTGACTCATATGAAGTGCTGTAATGTGCCAGCAGAGGATAAAAAGGAAAAAACCTGTCACTAGCATGGTGACAAAGGTTTCTTAGGAGGATATTAAATACTGTCCCTGCCACATAGCAATTTTCAGTCCTAATGAGGAATTCCACAGTGGAAGTCTTGTGGGTCCACCATGCAATGATTAAGTGCCAGAAAATCTCATTCTGCTATTTGTTTCCTAACTTTCACATTCATTGCAAGCAGCAGAGTAATACGACTAACTCCACATTTTCACCTCAAGGTACACACATACACATATTGTATATAGCCATCTTGTGTTCTAACCTCACTGTATGCACTTTTTATAAACACAGGTGTACAGAACAAGAATTTACGGAAAGGTATTTTTTAAATTGTGAAAGAATGCAAACAGGGATATCTGCCCCCCCCTGATTCTGTAGATTGAGAACCCAAGTTCAGAAATAGAAAGAAAAATCTTGTCACAATGTGTAATGTGCTAAAGCACAAGGTACCACTCTGTAAGTTGTTTGCAGACTTGCCTACAAGCTGCCATCTCATTGCCTCAAAATGATCAGGCCCACATCAATGTCATACTGTATTCTTTCACATTTTGCACTGTAACATTAGTCTGCAACTCCAAGAAAAGTACAACTTCTAAGTCTGAAATTAAGCCATAAAAACCAGTCAGGAAGCTAGAAATCCAATCCACAGGAATAAAAAAAAAATATTTATTTGGTGATGAAATCGGTTTCATTTTTTTCATTCTTTCAGACTTTTGTATTGCTGCTGGTCTCCACTGAGATTGCTTACATTTTTATTGTGGTCACCTCTCAATGCAGCCTTGCTTTAATGAAAAGCCAGAAAAGTACATTGAACATGCTGTGACATGCTTCTCAATGCAACTGAATGCTTAGGTATGGATAGTATCAATGTTGCACTTTAAAGAATTGCTAAGGGACTAACAATTGCGTGCAACATCTACTGAAAACTGGCTTTAAGTTTTCAAATTACGGTTGGACACGAAAGTTGAGAAATGTGAGTTCTTTTTGGTTGTGGTATTGTTTAAATATAAGTTTTAATTATAAAACAACATAAAGGCAAAACAAAACTCACCAAACTGAAACTGTGAGTTGTCCATTAGTCGAATGGATGCAGGTGCACATCTCTGTGGAATTCAAATACAGGATATCATAACATCATTAATTCAAATACATTACACCATTTAAAAAGTCCATTTCAATTCTGAAGTTTCCTAGATGTATTTTTGCACTGATAATTCTGTTTTTTGGGGGCTGGGAAAACATGCAGATTACCAACACAACACCATCACTACTTCATTAGTGGCAGATAAGACTCTGGGTAGCATTTTCAGCAATAATTTTGAATGATCTAGCTATTAATTGTGTGCCATATTAACACAATGATAGAATGCTTGCTTGCATGCATTAAGTACATTAAAGATTAGATATTTTTCACTTAAAACTGTTTTGCTAGTGATTTATTAGAGGTGGATCAATGCGATTCTAAATGGCTACCAAAGAATAATACCTTTGAGCTTGTATTGGATACTGAAGACCCTTAAGTTCAGGAAATAAATTATGCTTGGGGCAAATAAGAAAAAAACTAAAACCCTCCCAAGAGTGCTCCTCATGTGTTTGGGACTATTCCACAGAGGATCATCCCAATAAAGCCTAGCAACATGATCAATAACTTAATTGTACGCTGGCAAGAACAAGTGAGGCTACAACTTAATTCATTTTTCTTGGAGTAATGACTCAATTCCACAGAGGCTTGACTGTCCAAGACCACACAAATTTCAACAACCTAATTGTCAATAATGGTTTCATCAGTGATAGTGCTGCACCAGTTAGCACAGCAGTTTTAAGTGAGAACTGTTTGAACTTTCGAACAGCTCTGAAAATTTCTACCAATTACAGCACGGTAAGCGAGCTGCCAATTCTATTACACTGTGAAAACTGCCAGTTAGAAATGCATTGATCTGTGGTAGTACTTTCCGCATCTACAATCTCTGCTGCACAGTTTGCTCACATACTGTAACATTAGCACAAAAAGCATGAACACTAAAGACTTTTGCTTTGGCGGCATTGTGGTAACACATTAAATCCAACTGGTTACTTGGTTAATTCTAGGAAAAAACCTCTCCCACACTTTATTTTATAAAATAAAGAGGCAAATTTAACAGTTCTACACAGGACTCAGATCTTGTTCAGTTTTTTGATCCAGTGGCACCATAGTGTGCCGCAGTTCACAATTCTGACTAAGCAACATTTCTTCTTCTCCTTTACCCATCACATTTGTAGGTGCTAAGCACATAAGGAAAATACCATGAAGCTGTCAGGGAAAAGCAACCACTGTACCTTGAAAGGACAAATATGTGAAACAATATATTTTACACAGAGATCTGCTACTGATTCTGCTCACTAAACACTTTTTAGTATCCGTTAGAAGTAAATTTAGAGAGCTTACTTCTATAATGGTGTGGACATAAATAGTCAAAGGTTAAGGAAGAAAGTTTTCTATTTGGGTCACATTATTAGGAATGCCCCCACCAAGTGTCTCTCACACTAGCTGGCAGTGCGTGGGTTGGTTTGACTGGCACAAGACAGCTTTCCATCACCTTTCCTTTCCAAATCAAGGCCTCAGTCTCCATCCTACCGAGACCTCTTCAGACCGGTCCAACGGTCCCATTTTCCCTCATTTCAACCTCAACTGAAGGTGATCCCACAGAAACAAGGGGATTCCATTGGACAGAAAATATTACAAAGCTCTGTGGAATACATATGATATCCTCTGTGGGTGTAAATGTCACTAACAAAATCTGAAGAACAGCTATCAATGGTGCTATGTATTCATATTAATGTAAAGGGTATAAAGTTAAAGCAATCCAGAGGCCTGATCTGGTTCTCTTTAGTCATGATTTAAAACTCAACTCTTCCTCTACGAACTGCCTGGCTGAGATCAGATTCTCAATAAGATATTATATTTCTTTCAGAGTCCTGGCTGCAGGTTGTTTTCAAACTTACAGTATACCAGGGGCTAAGGGCTAACTACATCAATCTAACCAAACAACAGCACAGTCAACTACGAAGGATCTTACCTGTTTTGCGACCTCTCTCAAGCAAGCCACTCCCTGTTCAAAATTGGGAAAGACAACCGATCCATATTTCTGATACTCTGGGACTGGCCTGATCTTCATCGTGACTTCAGTGACAACACCAAGGGTTCCTGTGAGGGAAAAGAGAACAGTGATGAATGTAAAGGTGTATGAAGGAGTTATCTGTTGTTAACGTGATCAATTGTAATTAATATATTATTTATTGTATTATTGATTAGATAATCTGTGTGATTATACGTAAGAGTCAGATAAATAATAAACTAAGTGAAAGAATAAATAAGCCATGTGAAAGACACAGACTACAAAATGTATAATAAGCACTCATTCCCAGTGACTAGGTTTAACTTATACTAGGGGTTACTCAGATTCTTAATGCACAGATGTAGTTCTGTAGATATCAAATTAATCTCAATGTAAGCACCACATTGTAAATACAGTGGTAATCTAAGGAATCATAACCACTAGATTTACCAAGAGATTCTGTGTTTTCAGTTTTCGCATCGTCAGGCACTTGGGTTGAAGCAGAAGTGCATTTTGGCAGCTGTAACTACAACTGAACATTCTGTTCCCTCCTTTATGGAAGAGACTAGAAAAGATGTTCTAAACATACATAGTTAGCCTCGTCAAGCCTGAAATATCAAGAACCTCACGGTGCATTCAGACAACAATTACCCAGACAATCTGCGGCAAAGAACTGCAGACATGTAACATATTTGTTCCAGATTAGTAGGGAACCTTTATAATATAATATAATAAAATAAATCATTATATGATTTTTACTTAAGCCCCTATTATGGATTCACACAACAAAACCCAAAGAAGATTTCTATACCCAGATCAACCAAGTGAGATTTTCTGTGGAATCCCGAAGGAGGACAAACTTATTCCACTTGGAGAATTCAATGCCAGTCGCAACTACTAGCAAGAATGGAGTTAGAAAGGTCAATTCTGGCAGCATTCTTTGCCTGACCAATGACCATGTGCTCATCAGCACCAACACCAACACTCCACATTACCAGAAAAACAGACACAAAACATGGTGCCACTGTCCATGCCCACAATCGCAAAAAGGTCCAGATCAACCCATTTTTTCCATAAAGGGTCAAGGGGGAGCCAGAGCCTATCCTGACAAGCAGCAGGCACAAGGCAAGATACACCCCGGATGGGACACCTGTCCATCTCAGGGCACACACAGACACAAACATGCACACACTCACACCGGGGCCAGAAGTCAAGATGTTCACATGTCCATGGAAAATCTGCATCAAAATACTGAAGAAATCCTATCAAAAAAGAACACATTTGTGGAAAACAATGCATTAAGGACACTAAAAAAAGTGAGTACAGTAATCTGAAGAATGCCTGCTCAGCTTCCCAGAGAAGTCCAATTCCCAAACCCCATATTTATCACCATTGGGTTATTAGAGGACAATCGCTCTCGACTGCAAGGGACAGCCAATAAACGCATGTTCTTCATGAATTTTTAATGCAACACTGACCAGGAGAGAACTCCAGTCCAATCATTGTAAAAATGCTAAGCACAAAACTAACCAAGAAAATATATTGACATTTAAGAAAATGTAAGGCTAATGTCATGTCTCTCAAGAAAGCTGGCATTTTAAAAAAAAGTACAAATGTTATTGGAAAGTCAATACCAAATACAACATTTTTAAAATGACAAACTGCATCCAACTCAAACTCTTTGTAATCACCAACTGCTTGCAGGTAGTTTTTATGAATCAGAAAAAGATACCTATATATAATATATAATTATATAGAAAGTTTATATTGATGCATGAAAAAATACACCTCTTCCAGCTATTTGCTCATTTAATGCTTAGCTTCAAAAAAGGCAATCAACCATCTAGCCTGCATTGTGTCAGGAGTTCAAAGCCTTGCCCATTTGTTTGCCATATTTCATATTCATGCACAGATAAACATGCTAATGTAGAGCATGTTTATAACCCCCACATTCAGCAAACTGCAAAATCCGAAATGTGGATATAAAACTAGTTATGCTCCTGCATATAAAAATCCACTTTGATAATACTGTCATCTTAATGAGTCTGCATAAAATAACCACTAACTGAGACTAACTGGTATCATAAAAAGGAATGTAGTAAATCCATAATTTGCATTCTGAATGGGTAACTGCGAGTTCTTTTTTATAAAGAATTTTAAAGCTTTGACAGGTATACTGTACAATCCACTACGAATGCAGATATCTTCCTAATTATCTTAGCTATGGGCATTTATTTTATTAACATTATAGTTTTGAGGAACACAAAAGACTAATGTATATATGTAATATCTTACATACTATATATGTAATATCTTACATATTATATATATATATGTAATACTGTATCTATCTCAATGTATCTGACTTGAACGATACTGGAAACCCCAAGTTTAGCTGACGAGCTATTCATCAAATGCACATCAAAGTCATGAGTAAAGTGTGAAATGCAAAGATTGTCTATAACCTAGAAACAACACAGGCAAAAATGGCAGACTAATGCAGAAATATTTTCCTTTAAAAGACAGACATCTTTCCAAAAATGCCTGCCTATTACTTGAAGCCTAACTGCTTATACTGTATTGTGCAATGCATATACAATGTACAGGATCACTGAGTTAAAAAAAATAACAGGTGGAAGGATGACACATTAGAGAACATGAGCGCACAGCAAAGAAAATATTCAATTATCACTAACAAACAGTTAAACTCATAACTACAAACATTTGGATTGCAGTTAAAATAATTACCCTTTATGTAGGGAACAACAACAAAGCCAACCCCATTAGCACAGTGGGTACGGGTGCTGTGTGCTAATGAGCCACTAATATCACACTACATGCTGCTCTCTAGTGGCCTAATGGTGAACGTAATTTCTCTTCATCATTCAGCAAGTACGAATCTCAGGTACTCTCGTCTCAGCGTTCAGTGTTCTGAAAATAATACTTGGTATCAAGCCTCAGTTTAGGTGCTTGGTTGCTTCATCTTCACAGATGTCTGAACTTCAGATTTTATTACTCAAATAATTAGGCACAAACTTCCACTTCTTCCATAGATTTGGACTCGCAATTTAGAAATTTAGAAAAAAACATGAGAAAAAGTCTCCCATTCACTGCAGTTTACCCTGAAAGCTTTAGGGAAGACACATTTTCTGCTTCCACTCTGTTAGGTACCCAGAGGAGTGTGAAAATCCCTTTCTTCTGAAAGATTCAATAAGTATGCTACAGTAAACTGCCACATTGCTTTGTAACAATTTCCACTCAAAGTCATTTTAGGCAGCTAAGAGTCACATTAGCACTAACTCACATTTTTACCACAGAACATTCTAGGTTTCATCTGTCTCCACATTAAGTAAACATAACTTACATCACTGCAGTAGAAATACCACCATCATATTAGATTCATTTTAATCACAGGAACATAGAACTGCATTTCAGGTTTTTATAGATTTATCCCATAATTGTACTTGGTTTCCGGATGCTTCCGGATGGTTCAAATATAATTTCCTATAAGGCACTGGTAAAAAATGCAGGGTACATTTGAAATGAGGTATTTTCAAGTTTTCTAGTACTTTAATGGACAGAAAAATTGAAATAGAAAACACAATATACTAGGGATTGAGCAGTCAGCAGAAGCCCTACCAAGAATCCCATTCCATGCCTCCAGGGGGTCTGTTACTGAGGTTTGCAGTCATCAGGTTTTAATACAAAAATGAATTGGTTTCTGAGAATACAACAGCAAAGTATTACTCGCCCTGTTTTGGACAGATGAGCATTTCAGATAGCTTGCCATTATCTCAGAATTAACCTTTTCCGTCCTGAAGGCAAAAGTGTCTTTCCATGCTGTCTAAACTTTTAATACCGATTTATAAAATTGGAAAAAAGACACTGCAAAACAATATGACAACGTTTCAATCAAAGAAAAACTAAAGTGCTTTTCATAACAACGGATGTAGACAATGCAAACAAGACAGGCCCCGAAACATTACATTAATCTTTTTTTTTTCTGGTCAACTCAACATCTTTCCCTAAAAAGCATATAGGGCACAACTGCTTTCACTTGAAATGCATGCTTTTAGAAGTGAGCACTGAAATCCCTGGCAAAGAGAAGTGTTATTCTTAAATGCCAGCTGCTAACCAAGGGGATTTTTTTCATCAGAAAGGGTCACAGAAGGGACCTGCTTGCTTAGTGTCCCATATCAGGATACAATTCTCAAAGGGACTTTGTAACTGACAAAGAACTGAAAGAATGAGAACCACATGGACTATCTGAAAATATGTGGGTTAACAGAGGGGAAAAAACACCTAATGATTTTTTTTATTGCCCTCGAACTGCTGGTATTTTCCTGGCATCCAGAAGGCTAACCAATCTTTGCTTAAGGTCAACGTGCAGTCTTTGATAGGCACGAGATGAAAGTCAAACTTTCTCTCCCAGAGTATTTTGTTTAATGCCAATGCAAGACAAATGCTAATCCATAACCCAGTACATCACATTGCACTATAAAGCCAAGATGGAATCCACAGACCTCGAAGCACAAAATGTAAGGAAATCATTACGATCCTCAAACTGTAAATCAAACAAAACCCTAAAATTAATTTTACCTTAGTTTTAAATAGGTTCTAAAAAAGTATTCATTCACAGATTGCTGATATCAATGCAAGATTTAGAGCATTATTAATATATATTAAGTAATTCATCCTGAGTGATGTTCTGAGGTAACCTGTTAAAAACATACTGTATAGTACAAAAAACAAAAATGATCGCGTACGATTTCCAACTAGACACAGAAATTGCATTTGAGAATGGCAAGGAAAACAAATTAAAATTACAATATTGTAATCCCTCTTAATATAGGCTTAATTTGTTCCTTGAGAATGGCTTGTACGGTGAAAACCGAAGTAAGGGAAACAAAATTTCTATGTTATAATCTCCAGTTTCTCCCAAAACTCAAAAATGTCCCTCAAACACCCAAGCTTCACCTTAATAAAGCACAGGATAGTACCTAAGGTATGAAAGAAAAAACATTCCTGGTTAGTTATTTGAATACCATGCTTAAAGTCATTAGCCGATGCATAAACAATAGATACAGTAGCAAAGCAATAACAATCCTCCTCATTTATGGTACAGTACATTGGCGACATTTTTACAGCCATTAGCAAATGCATAAACATATATTAATGATAATACACATAAGGGTTTATTCTAAAAAAAGTTAAAATGTAATAAAAAAATGTAAATTCCTCATCCAAGAAGATGAGAGAATTTCGGCAACGCTTGACAAGAGCCCAGCTTGAAAAAGTGAAAATCCGCTTGTTAAATTAAAAGACGGGTAAGAATCATTACATCTCGTATAAATGAAAACTCATAAAGCGAGGGATTACTGTACATCCTTCAAAAAGATCACCTGGTGGCACTCTATAGTGTAGCCCCTTTCGAATAATTTTTTTAAACATCAAAACCTAGACAGAAAGTTTTCCATTACAAATTATGTTGCATCGGAGACACAAAATCTGTTTGACAGAGACACTCCAAACCTCCAAACTAAGCAAATTTCATACTTCTAACTCATTTCCAAATTATTCACTTGCATTATGAAGGCATATGAACAGTAACTTCATTATTGAATATGGGGCAATAACCAGTGTTACAAATACTCAAAAGATTGCCTACTAAAGTGCAATTTGCCATTACAAGGTCTAAAAATGAGTATAAATGTCCTAGGTATACACTGCCTTGCACTCAGCAGGCTAATAGCTGTATTTTGTTCAGCTTGTTAGCAAGCAGATGTTTAACATTACAATGCCAATACAAGCTTTATTGAGTCCAGAATTTTCTAATTAAGCTGGAAGAACCTGGCATATGGCAATATTCTCCAAGGGTTCCCAGAAGGACAAAGCAGTAGAAAAAAGGGCAGGTGTGTGCCTGGTATGCAAATGGTACCTTCCAGTCAATTCTAGTTATAGCTAAGCACACTTTCATACCAGGCTGAGTTTCACTTATATGGATAGCCTGCACTCAAATTCAATTAACACAAATATTTGGTTAAGAGAACTTTAATTCAATTCTTTGACAAAAGTAACTTCCTTCTCAGCACATCTGGTGCTGCAACTCCGCTCCAATTTACTCTCACAAAAACCGCCTGACAGACAAGCTTTTACAGCCACATTTTCAGTGACGGAGTTCAGTGGCAGGCACAGAAAACACAGAATACCTTCAGATCCCAAAATGAAGTGATGTACGTCGGGACCGGTCGACATGCGAGGGCCCTGACAGCTCTTCTCTACCACCCCTCGAGGTGTCACCATTTTTATGTGGACAACCTGCAGAGCAACAGAGTGGGAAGGTGGACATTGCAGCATTAGGCGAAAATACTCTGTGGACATGTGTATTTTCAACAACACTTTCCAAAGAGAAACCACCCAAAAAAACTCACATTTTGAAAGCTGTCATTAGCTTGTCAACTTTGTAAACAATTACAAGTGAGAGACCAAAAACTACCTTTTACATTAAAAAATTGTATATTCGGTGATTATTTTCTGTACAATACAAAAAAAATATTTAATCTTGTAATTAATTGCTTTGGGATTTTCTTAAACTGGGCAAAAAAGATTATCATAAACATAAACACTGAACCATGGGTTTTATTGTAATAAAGGATGTGGTGAAATTAAAAATAAAAAAAATATTGCACATAAAATTTAGGTTACTGTTGTCCACTAAAGAAGCCTCCTATTGAAAAACCAAATTTTTCTCTAACATCACTGTCAACTGGTTTTTTTAATGTTTATTTCAAATGTGAATTAATGACAGATCTCAGAATTTACTTGAAAAACATTTTTTTTTCCAAACAATTCTCTCAATATTGCTATCGCAATAATGAATTTCTGAAGTTTAGATTGGTTGGGGCCAATACAGTTTCACCAGAAACGGTTATTAAAATGTTCATTGTGAGAAATATACTGTTTCAACTTGTTTCCAATTTTAATTTTATGATAACAACACAGTTTCATTATTGGAAAGACTATAGCATTGCATTTTCAAAGAAATGCCTGGATCATGATGCTTAGAAATATGATTTGTTTAATAAATGTGATTTTGCTTAATGCTTATTCTGTACAGTAATGTGTGCAACAGTTGATACTAATTACAGTAAACGCGATTGGTATTTGCAGACATTTATGGAATTCGTATCAGTGTAGAACTCCTTTGGAATGTTGGCAGCCATCTTGCTTGAGCAGGCTAGGAAAAAAATCTTTCAAACATGCTGAGCAGAGAAAAGGTTAAAGTACTGTAGCTGGCACTATTCCTAAGAATAGGGGTGCCAACTTCACTGTACCGTTTCTCCTTTCTGGTGTTCTTAAAATTCCTCCTTAATTCAACTTGAGAAGTAAATTCTCCATTCTCCATTGCTAAGTTGTGGGGCTGTTGGTGCAGAATAGTGCATATAAACCAGGTGGGAGCTGTACTTTATTAAGGCTCACCTTCCAATATCTGAAACACTTTAGAGTCATATGAGGTGAAAAACTCTAAGCAATTATTACATCAAATTTTAAAAAGTATCATTATAATATCTTTCTGGCACCTGTTCAAGACCCACATGGTAGACATGAGCACCTGTGATCTTTCAACAACAACCAAATCTTTCAACAACTCTTATAAGGCACTCATGTTCCTAATTGTCAAACTGGTAAAGCAACTTTCTGGCTGCAGTACCTACAGGGTGTACTCACAATCTGTTTAAATTCTTAAAATATAACTTGTGTGGCACTTACACTCTCCCCCATCCAGTTTGTGTTAGCCTCACCGTCATTACGTGGACCTAATTTTTTTTTTATCTTCCTGTACCCAGCACCATGATTAGTCCACATACTCATGTATTGCGTGTTACGAATACAAAATGGAAATCTACTTTACTGTGAGGCTGCCCTAGATAAAGGCAAACAATAATAAAATAATTTCACTGTGATTATTAATGTGTTTATATATTCTGACTTCCCTATAACAAAATGGTTGTGATCTGTTTCCGGTATTCCCTGAATATCACTGAATAAAACTTACTAGGTCTTCAATGTTGCCATAGACATTCTTCTTCATGCCAGATGCTCTAGTCGCTACCCAGCCTCCCAGCGAGCTGAACTCCATGGAATCAGGCTCGTGCCCCGTGCAGTAGCCACTCTCATTCAACTAAGAATGGGACAAAAGAAATCCTGAACACAACGTTTCAACACCACCAGCAATCCATCGGCGTATCGGTGTTACATTTATGGCACCCGTTTTTCTGAATGCTTTCCATCAACACAGGAAAGGAAGAACTGTATTGTTTCATAACATACTGCTTGTGAAATTGTTTCTTTTATTTTCGACAAAGTAAAATTGAAACCCAAGGTGATTATTCCTCTTTTTTTCATAAACCTTCTACCAGTTAAAATATGCTGTAAAAATAATTTCCAGGTACAACTAATGGAACAAACTAACAGTCCTAACAGAATACTATTCAACATTCCTCTGTTTTTCCAAGGATTTGTGTAAAAGGTACAGGAATATATACGTATACTATTTTTTTGCATCCCTCTCTAATAAGACTTTACAGACTGCACATAATACAGATTTGAGCACCACAATATTCCGTAAGTAATTCTCTATTCTGATCTGTAATATTTTGAAACCATAAATCTTCTTCTCATTACCACTGTACTACAAGTAACACAGGAAGACAAGAATGCAAATTCGTTTCAATGCACTGGAAAATTAACTCAAACGCAACAGTGCAATGATTCAGCTCGCTATAGTGCACTGCTGAAAAATGTTTTTAGATTTTAGATTATCTCTCACATTTAGCCTTCTATTGTGGAATAAAACAAAGATCGTGAATTGAAATAAAGAAATGAGTAGCCAATAACTTAAAGAAATGAGTCAAAACTAAAAAAAATACATTTTTGAACACTACAAGCTTATGAATCTACTGAATACTAAAATTCTCCAGACAAACATTTCCACATTCTCCTTTTGCAATGGACTGTTTCGGGAAAAGTGCTAAAACCCTTCAATATATCCACGGTCTTTAAAACCAAATGAGATGTGCATCAACCTTCCAGGTTATCAAACTAAAAACAGGCCTGGTTTATTATAAATTTCCCAAGGAAGAATGGGTTTAATGTCGAGCCATCTGGTAGATAAAATTGAGCTTTCTATATGCAAAACCAGCATCTACTTGAGATGCAGAACACACATTCTTCTACATCAAACAGTAGCTAGTTTTCCATTTTTCTGAATTAGTTTGATGGAGCCATCTGTTCAGCACCTGAGTTTCAATCAATGCCCTTCAACATTTGGGCCAGTAAGGCTCTGTCGCTACCAAGTCTCAAAAGACCCTCCTTAAGCTTTTCTTTGCAGCATTCAAGCTTCATGCTCATTTGATGCCACTTTACATTCCTGGTGTACAAGTGAGTACACTCCAAACATTACACACCAGTGATTTAATTCTATCAACTATCTCTGCACTGCTCCACAGTGTCCTAGCCCTATACTGCAGCTATTGCATTACGTTGTAATTAAATGATGCACTGACAAAATATATGAACACAGATTTTTGCCATCTTTTAAATTCTTAATGTTTGCTTACATTTTTTTACCATACACATATGTACAGATAAATGTGTACATGCAGCACAAGTGGAAGATTTGGAAGCATCAAGTGTTTAGGTACAGTACACACAGAATTTGAAAGTCAGCGTAATCCTTGATTATGGCATTTCTTTTTAACACTGCTCCTTGACTTAGTATCTTTCTTTGCTTCGGGGTAAGATGCTATGTAAGGCACACTATAAAAGGAAACATCTGCACAGGAACAGATATGACAAGTGTTGGGATAGGAACTCGGGGAGAAAGTTCTGGAAAACTAAATACATTTTTGTGCTTATTGCACATTCAAGCATCTACTGCTTCACAATGTTGGAACTATAGTGAAGCACATATACATTTTTTTTTCCATTCAAATATGAATGTATTCATACAACAAGGTGGATGTTTTAGTCAAATTCAAGAATTCACACATCACCAGTTGAGTCGTCAACTTATAAATCTACTTACCTGTCTTTCCAGATCCTGTCCAATAATGCCAGCTTCAACATGCGCTGTTAAATTCTTCTCATCAATCCACAATATTCGATTCTGAAAAACAGGTTCACAGTCTCATTTGTCAAAATCTGTAACAAGTCAAGATGAGACACTAGCCAAAAGGGTAGAAAACGCTTCAGAAGATAATGGAAACCCTATATATTGATTCTGTACCATAGTTCTAAATAATCCATGGCATTTTAAGGTCCATGCAAAATACATTTCTGAAAACCTTTTTACCATTGGTCTTTCATGGTTAGACTAAGAAGAGTAGATATACAGATATTCATTTTAATTTGAACAGATACTAAAAATGTTGAAGCAAAACATTTGATAAATGTACCCAAGTTTCTTTTCAAATCCCATAGCAGAAGCATGAAAATCATGAAAATTGAACCTCACAACCTACAAAAAAGACGACCATCAAATGTGTTAAACTCTCAACTAAATACAGCCACATAACATTGGCTTATATTTTAGAGGACTAGTTTAGATGGCTGATGAAGATAAAGGCTTTTTAAAATATTCACTAAAAACCAACAATGGATTTGAGGAAATTGTAGATACTGTAGCACTAGAGGCACAATTTGACAGCTTTTGTAAGCCTTGTATTTCGAGTATGAAGCCAAGGAATTGACAAGTAATCTTCCACCAGAATGAACCTAAATTGGTAGACAGAGTTTAACCTTTTACAGACAACTCTGTTGATAAGATACGGAAATGTCTGAAACATCATACAATAGCTTCTGATGAATGGCAGAATGTTTCTGATTGGCTAGGCTCCCTAATCACTGCGGTTGGGCCTTTGCAACAATGATAATCAAAGGTGGCTCTCACTCCTGCAGTTCACTGAGTGGTTGAAAAGATCCATGCCCAAGGGTAGAATCTATGGCAATGGATCCTGACAGAAAATGATACGGAGCAGGCTAGGTTATCCATGAAATAATCCTTGTTTGGTATTGCATCCAGCTCCGGTAAAGAAATGTGGAAAATCATGACTATGTAGTCCAAAAGATAAAAAGGAAAAAAAATGAATTTGAAAGTACACAGGGATGCATTACAACACTTAAATTCCTTTAACATTTAAACCTGGAAAACTCCTTTAGTTTTAAAGTGGTATTTATGCTGTGAAAATGCATGATCTGAACACTTTCCTAATCCCTAATCGGTCATTTTCCAAAGGTAATAAAATGGGCACTGTTGTTATATGGTAGCTTTTATGTGCCGCACTAAAACTCCTGATCCTCATGACCTAAATATATTGTTATAGAAAGATTAGCGCAGTGGTATTTGTGCCACTAACTCGGAGGCAAGGAGATTAAAGAGGTAGAAAGTTTAAGACCACAGCATGAATTTATCTCTTCAAAAAGCCTTTCAGAAGCACAATATCCAACATGTATGGAATCCATTCTTATCAAGTATTTCTTATAACACTTAATGGTTCAAAGCAAACAAATAAAAGCCTTTAAAGAATCACACTCGGACGGGGATTTTATTTCATATTGGTGTATGAAATAAAACAACACTGTTCTTAAGAACTCATTTAGCTTCAGGTAGGCAGATTGAGAAGCTCCCAAGGATAAACATAATGCAGGCAAAACTGAAGCATGAACAACAGTGAACGTCCTGCCAATTAGTTCCAAGCGCAACATCTCCACTGCATCATTAGCCCTCTCCTCCCTGCACGAGCTTCCCCTCACTTGGCCTCTGAGCTCCCAGGCATTAGAGGAGCCCTGCCAGGAACACAAACTGGCACTCCTACAGAAGTCTGTGAAGCATAACCCAGTTCCTGCCACCACCAGAGGAACAAAACTGTCTACAGAATGACGGCACCATCCTCCTTTCTTTCCCCATTCACATAGCACACTTTTTAAGCAAAAAGGAACAGATCTGAAGTCAAGACAAGCAGAATTAATTTAGGCCGATAGAGCAACCCATGTAAAAAGGAAGCAATAGCTTCACTCCAGTGGGCTTAAGTTTTATTCTCTGACCAAACCCTTGCGGTTCATTTTTATGAAATAATTACTCAAAATTAAATGAAGAAAAAATAATTGAGGAAAATGGTTGACTCCACACCCCATCCTCCAGTCTGACAGGTTGAGAGGTTAAGGTTGCAGTCTTTCACAGGCCAGTTAAGGGAATTTTATTACCTACCATTTGGGAGGTATCCAAGGAAACAATAGTCCTGTTTTCTTCAGGAGGGCACTCCAGGGCACTTGACACACTTGTACCTCCTACAAACAAGGAAAAGTTAACAACTGGCTGATTTGAAGTGGGAGTTTTACTTTCCCCTTCTCTCTCTCATAAAGGGCAACTAGATGACTCCGTACAGATGGACTTGCTAGGAGGCTAGCCTCTAACTCCACGGCACAAAGCAAGACAAGGTGATTCAGACATGAGTCATGGTATTTCAGAACCTGTGAGAGGACAAGTGTCATAAAACAAAAATGGGGCCATCTGCTTTGATTAAAGCACTACTGTAGGAGCACAATTCCAGTCAGATAAATCTAACTAATAACACAACTTTTAGTGTTTTACATGGTATAGCCGAAGAAAATGTTTTTTATTGATCACAATCAAATGTATTTTATCAAGAGTAACTAATCTCCAACTTCAGTCTGAAAATGACAGAATCTTTTACTTTCTTTTTTGTCAGGAAAAAAACTATCGTAAAAGCCATAGCTAATTGAAACTTTAATTTCAAAGACAGCTGATTTTTGTCCTTGCCAATAAACAGTCAGCCACTTCTTAATTAGATTCTGAGATGCTGACTTTGTTTAATTGCACTTCTAAAATGAACAAGAAATAGAAATATGCACAGATAGATCAGTGGTTATGACACAATGATTTATGGCGGAAAAGTTTTTTTTTTCCTAGTGAAAAGCAGATTTGCAATTCTTTAAACTCTGGCTGAATTTAACAGGACTTAAGGAATATTTTTTCCAGAATACTTTGTTTTTTCTATTAAGACTGAAATAAGTATCTTCTAACAAAAGAAAATATTAAAATAATTTAATTATACTCACATTTCTAGATCAATGTACACCTGGCAAGGGTGAGCACAGGTCAGTACAAAATGTGATGTAAAGTGTATTCTAATAAATATCTACAATCAGTATTTTACAGAAAAATAATCCAAGAATCCAAAAGCACTGGAAAACCAAACACAAGGGCTAAGTGCAGGCTCAGATGCTCTTTATAGTGAAATCTCTTTACTTTGATGCAGAGTGCTCAAAAATTCTTATTTGTTACTTTAGGAAATTAGTCCTGTTGGCATATTCATTTTGTGATTTTTTTAATCAACATTTTTTATATGAAAAAATAGCAACATGGGTCATAAAAAGCATCTAAGTCAAATAGGTAGAAAACACATTTAGTTTTTCCTGTTCTTAAAACAGCTGTAAGGAGTTTTTAAATGTTAGTACGTACCGCCAAAAGGTATTACACAAACACTGTGTTTGCATGCCAGCTCCACGATTTTTACCACATCGTTGTGGCAATCTGTAAGGAGTAAAGGCACATTTAAAAAAAAAAGAAAATCACATTTTAAATACACAGGTCATTATAAACTTCCTGAAAGTAACAAGACAACATCCTTTTTAAATTTTATGATGAGAGTTTGTTAATGATTTGTTAATTTACCACAGTATTATGTATTTTGAATGCCTAGAAAATAAACCAATGGCTTGATTATTGAAGACACATTTTCTTTGTGAACTTGGTCTTGTGGAAAATCACAATAATTGTCTGCGTTATGGAATAATCTGAAAATACAGACACCATTACAGCAACAGTACATTTGCTTAATAATACTTATAAGCACTTTTCAAAAACTCAAGGTGCTGCACAATAATCAATGTATAATACATGAAAGAAAATGATCAAATACATCCAAGGTAAAATCATACATTAAAAGCTACATTTAAAACGAAAATAAAAAATGCCCACTGTCACGAGTCTCTAATAGATTTGGTACCACAACCTTAGAGACAAACAAGAGAAGGGTTCCATTGTGGGGAACCTAGTCTAAAGTAGAATCAAATCAAATCTCAGATAAACTGTTGGATAATACTCATGCAAGAAGTCCTTATAACAGTCTGGAACTAGTATTGTGCTGGGCCTTATATGGAGGACTTTAAAAAAATCACTCCAGATTTTACTACAAAACAGTACAATGCACAAAGGACAGAAGTGATATGTTGAGACACTGCAGTTTTAGTTTGCACACAACCTGTAGAAGTCTGGACATAATAAAACCTAAGTAGCTACCCAAAATAAAAATAAAATCTTTAAATAAACGCATCAATTTTTCAGCATCAGTCAGAATAAAAGACCAATGCTACACTGACAGAAATTCTACCAGGTACTTCAAATGACAAGATATAGTCAAAACAATTTCCCAAGTTCAATCAAGGGTTGAATGTCTGCCAATGACTCTGATGTCACCACTGTTTGTAGCTGTTCATGGAAGCCAATAAGCAAAGACTCTGTCTATAGTCTAGCTAAAGAAAGTCCTGTTGTATCTGTATCTTATTGTCAGACAGGTAGCTGTAAAGTTCAGAAACCACAGGAGTATCACCTGATTTAGTTTGCAAATAAATCTGAGTGCTGCCTGGGTACAGTAACTGTGAAAACCAAATCCATGAAGGCAAATAATGTAACTAAGAGATAGTGTATCTATATACAGTACATGAACTAAATAGTAAAGGTGCAACCAAAGAACTATTATATACCTGCGTAACCTGGATGTCAGAAGATTTAAAACTGCTGAGATTTACAAATTGGTCTCTATGAATCAAACAGGAGTCAAAGCAAAGAAGAGAGGTACCAGTACTCCCTATACATGAATCATGAGATAAGACTGCAACTGAGCTGCAACCACCCATTTGCAGAATTTGCAAGAAATATAAAAATGGACATAGGACAGTAGTGATTCAGTTTAGGATCCAGATCAGGTGCGACGGCATCTTACTTTAACCCTCCAGGCGCAAGACTAAATATTGATGAGGTTAGTAACCAGCAGAAACTTAAAGCTGAGTATGGGCATAAGAAAGCAGTCCAAAGCTCAAGCTGTATGGCTCATTTTTGCTACTACCTCAATCACATACTGTAAGGTGCACCCAGAGCAGTAACTTGAGAAAAACTCAAACCAGAGAGTAGGAGTGAGTGTAAATGACATGGGGAAAACAGGTTATTAACACCGAGAATGAAATCTATTCAAATCTGTTAACTGTCTGGGTCAAGCTTTTAATACAAATACATTAACATTAAATTTGAATTAATTAATGGAACCAAACAAATTCTTCTAATTGGAAACTAGCAGCTTTATATAATAATAAAACTATTACACAAATGAGATGAGAGAGACTCTACAGAAAAGAAAAAGCCTACAGGCATTTTTGGAAACTCAGCACTTTGTTAGGGTTGGGGAGTTCCTACTGCCTCAGGCTCCCTTGAAATGAAGTCAAATAATTTGCAGTTTGGTGGGTGTGGGAAGTGGGAGACTAGTAGAATAGAAATACAGAGAGGGTGATGCAATATTTAAGAATGTCAGCCAGCACAAAGGTAGGGTTGGTCACCTGTGCAAATGGTTAAACAGCAGATCTACTGAAAAATGCTAAGTGAATCACCAGATGCATCTGATTCTGTTGGAATCATATGTCTTTCACTTTATTTGAGGTCATAATGTATATTGACCACTGAGGCATTATACACCAAAAATCCAGGAATTTCCCCAAGTGAAATTCTGTCCAGAAACCTAACACTATTTTAATATCGCACCACAAAATGACAAGAAAAATGTTCCCGATTCTTTTATGGAAAGAAAAAGAAAATGAATCCTTTAAAAATGTATGTTGTGGAGCGATGAAGGTAACAATAATTCCTATTTGAACACTATAGTAGAAGAGCTGTGATTTGCTATCCCTGCTAATCATGTTTCAGCAATCAGTCACCATTCATTTGCATGATAAAATAGAGCCAGCAATAACAGCAGTGAACCAATCTCCGGAACATAATTCATGTTTGCACTCTGTTGCTTGAAACCACTGAGTATTGGATGTCAAATGTATTCCCCCAGATGCATCTTATTAAAGCTACATCTCATACATATTTATACTGTACACCTGCCGACTTCTGTCTGCTACGATTAACCCTTTAGGTATTTGAGTTGAAGAAAGAAAAACTCACTTGGCCATACCACAAGGTCTGGAATCCGTCCAAATTTTCCTTCACGAAGAGCAAAGATTTCATGCAAGCAATGGCCTGTTGGAACACAAAAAATTTTACGTTTAAAACCCTTTCATACAGGCATTTATTTAAAAGAAAAACTCTGTACTGTGCTCACCATGAGCACGAAATATCCTGTCTTCTGCTTCATGGGAAAAAGGTATGGCTGAAGCTTTAAGGTCCTGCATGAAGCCCTCATTTAAAATGGGTGGTTGGAGAGCACTGGCATCAAATGTGGACTGAAAAAAAAAGATAAAGAAATATATAGGAGTTAAGAGACTGCAAGCTAGAAAATGGAAATATCGAAACATTACTGTAAAAAAAAAATGAAAACTTACTTTGGGTGGTGTTTTGTGTTCTAGACTTGCTCCAAAGGTGTTTTCAAACCAATCTTTTAAGCCAGGTATTATCATGCCACTTAAACGATACCTGAAATCAACACGTACAGGTGTCAGAGGAGACGGTCCAATTGCAAAGTTAAAGAATCATTCCTTCAGCAACACACTTTCTACCCACCAAGGAAAGTTTCATATCAGGTTTTGATTGTTTTATATTTGAAACTAAAAAGTTCCAAGTGCTTGTAAAATGGAAAAAGAACTTTAAGCCCTACGTTCTTCAGAAAAATGGAACATACCGACTCCGGATTCATGTATATATTACAGTCAAAGATCTAATTATGTGCTATGGAATGGACATAAGAACATAAGATCATTTCCTGTTGCATGTTTGGATATTTGTAGCAAAGTGAGTGGAAGATTTCATCAGGGTATTTCTTGAAACAAGCAATACATCAGCTTTTCCAACAGGACTGGGTAGTTTGATCTAGCTGCTGCATACTGTTGCGTAAAGAAGTGCCTAATATTCTTAATTTTAGATGTACGTCCCTTTTGTTCCCACTTGTGCTCTATGATTTGTGCCTTACTGCTGGCTGATTCCAAAGAAGTCTGTACAATTTCTTCATCAATGCCTTAGAGGACTTCAATCTTTTTGAATCCTTTCCACTCAACACTCTGTTCAAGACTAAAACGATTAAACTTTTTTTTAGACCGCCAGAGCAGGACATTCCTTTGAGTTCAAGAAACATAGCTGGCCACTCAGTATTATGGGTTAGTCATTAGTCATGTTCTAGTGCTAGAACAGAATTTAGAAAACAGCCATGGGACTAAAGGTACATCATCAGACAGCACTTCTAAAGGGTTAGCAAAATATTATGTATACTTATATATATTTGATGTATTCATTATTTTTGTCCCATCACTAATAACAGGCTTAAAACACCTGCCACAGACTAATCCAGATAATAGTTTTATACTTCCCTGGTATGACACCAACAACTTGCCTAGATTGTGTAGTTATCCTCTTTTTTGGAGATGAAATGCTTCAGAAACTGAATTTTGAAAAAAAGGTTTAGCTTAATTTTCCATTTCTAATCAAAAAGATGTCCATTTTAAATAGCTTAACTCATATAACTGCTATAATAATATGATTACAAAATATGACAGAATGGAAATATTAAATAGTTATTTCTAGTAACCCTAAATGTAAACTAACTAAACTATATGCCATACAGAAATTATCACTTAACACATCTAACTGATTGAAGTGGAAGAAATATACTGTTGTTCATTAGAACTGTCATTTAATATTCAGATTTATAAAGATGCTGTCATTCAAGAAAATAATGAGGTGCTGCATTATTTCAGTCAAGATACAATAACAATAAATTGGACACCTACAAAAGTATCCAAACTTAAACCATTATTTCAACTCCCTGAAGAATGCATTTTTATTCACTAGCCAAGAGCTTGATTATTATTTTTATGCCACTTCTGTTTATTCCACAAGGACCTTTCTTTGATTTTCTTTTCATTTGAACTTGAATGTTGAAAGTATGTAAACTCACTCTAGACAGAATGGTTTATTCACAAAAACCTTCAATATCAGAAACATCCCTGCAAGTATCCTTAATTAATATTGGGGAATCTACATCTCTAATGGTAACATAAATATTAGTTACCACAAGGTGGCAGTGGTGTCACATGGAGGATATAGACATGGAACCACTGCAGTGTATCTGACATGCAGCTACTTATCAACTTAATCTGTTAAAGTGTGGAATTTACACAAAACACTACATCAGGATAACTCTCATTTATCAACCCTGATAACAATGGAGCATAAAAGACATGCCAAACGCAATCAAAAGTAAAACATAAAGGTGTGCTTAAAGACCTGTTTAAAATCAATACATCATCCTCAGGTGTATGGAGTTACTACACCATCTCTACTTTGTGTAAACCTTTATGTTGGTCCTAAAACATATGCATTTGTTCGTATTTATTGGCTAGTCAGAGAGGTTTAAAAAGGAAGTATTTCTAGTTGGCAATGCAGTTATAAGAGGATAACGCCAACAACTACATGAGACTAGTTACAGTGATAAAGGCACAAGACATCTGGTGGAAGGAAAGGCAGGCTTTACCTGATGTAATACTGATACAAACACAGAAGAAGAATGTGCACACTAGTGCATGAAGCCATCAAAGCAGTATTGATTCACCAGTGAAAGTCAGTATATTATTACATAAAGTTTTATGACCACTTACAGCTATAATCTATCAATGTAATGCAAAAATGCAGAATCTGATTCTGTCAAAGGAGCACTGAACTCCTTTTGCAAACTATGCGTGAAAGAAGTATGTGACAAAAATGTATGCTATGATTAAAAGGAAAAGAAATACAAAATACTGTACCTTTTACCAGTAAATTCAGCTTGGCCTTTCTTATTGAACAGGAATCTCGAATCACTGTAGCCCCAGCCATTCCATTTCATAATCTCCTGCCTAAAAACACAACAACAATTTTTTTTAAACCGTTTCACTGAGGTAACATGTTTGCTAGCAACAACTTTTACATTGCAGGGACACATTTTCCATTCTGCCCAGCAGGATTTAAATAAAAATAAATTAAAATAGCTGAGAATTCTTAAGCAATAAAATGTGCCACACATGCAAAATCTGGTTAAACATGTGTGGGTACTGAAAAGATTCCTTTGGAATTTTATTCCTATTAAATACCGCATTGTATATATGTTTTTTTTCAGTGACAAAACTATTAAAGAAAAAGCTAGAAAATATACTTGTGACATGTGTTATTTCGCAGATTATAAACAGTTACTGAATGCTTTTGTTGATATATAACACAATCCTTTTTATTATATAAAATATATCAGGAAATTTCATACGGTATTGGTAAAAGCTCCATTATTATATTACATCCCCAAAAGTAATGTTTTTTTTATTCAGTAGTATAACATGATACAAGGAGGAAAAACAGGAAAAAAAATCTAGATAATCTAAAACACAAATCTTTACAATAAAAATTCCAACGTTCTCCTCTTAAATATAATTTACTCTAATAACATTCAGAGACACGCAATTTAAAGGAACAGTATAGAGGACATTAATGTTATCTGTAAAACACGAAATTCAACAGCTGATTTTATCTAACAATAATATGAATAATAACATTCCTGAGCCAAATGAACTTGAAAATGAATGGTGAAAATGCCTTACTAAAGTACTTTTACCACAAAGTACAAGATAAAAAGTCACAGGTAACTCAAATGATCTGGGCTCATTGAATCGCAAACAGTTCACACTGAAAAAAACAAATAGTTACCACTTAAGTGCAGTTCCTTATAGCAGGGAACACTGAATTTGATTTTAGGCAATGGATTTGTGCCCCTCAAAAAGCATCAGAGATACTTTGCAATAAGAATGGCACAGTGGTGCAGTGGGTAGCTTTGCTGCCTCACAATGCTGGCACCCTGGGCTCAGTACTGGTCCTGGAATGCTATCCGTGTGGAGTTTGTATGTTCTCCCCATGTTCTTGCGGATTTCCTCCGTGTGCTCTGGTTTCCTCCCACAGTCCAAAGGCATATGGGTAGGTTAACTGGCTCCTGGAAAACGTGGCCCTGGTTCCGTGTGCCTGCATGTTTGTGTCTGTGTCTGTGTGTGCCCTGTGGTAGGTGGTGTCCCATGGAGTATGGGAGTATGCCACCTTGCTCCCATTGTTTTCTGGAATAGGTCCTGCAGCCCTGAATTCCATGAAGTGGTGAGAAAAAGGGATGGAACGGTACTTTGCAATAAAGCTCAACAGCTAAGTAAACATGAATTAATCCATGAAATTTACACAATAATCTTTGATTTTGCAATGTTTTATCTTAAGCAATGCCTTTTACGTGTTGTAGGTTAGACCTTGACGTCACATGCAACATATCACACCAGACTTCAGTTCTGTTTTTGCCCACAGTGAATGAAAACTTAAATGTTTTAATCAAATACTGGATTTTAGACCTAAATCCGTTACTTGTTTTTTTTATATTTACATTTTGTATTTAAAACCTACAAGTCACAATTTCCATGGCCTGTGCAGGGACTGGTCCATCAGAATATTCAGCACACCACAATCTTGTTGTCAAGGTTAAGCTGCAAACAAAATCCTATCAGCTCTCAACAAGGCAATATCAACTGCAATCACTTCAAGTAACAGGCAGTGACAAGCAAGCCTTTAGTGTAATCCATAGCACATTTATAGTTTCATTCCCAACTGTTTTTCCCCCCAAACTGACAAGAACAGCGCTCATAACTAATCAGAACAATATGGGAAAAAAAAATGCATCTGAACACCTTTTTATCAAAGCATTTATGAGAAGTGAAAGATGTCATGCATAATGCAAAGTATTGAGATGAACTGTCCCTGTTTCACAAGCACAAAACTAAAGAATTTACTTAGTAATAGAAAACAAAACAGCACAGAGAAATAAATTATTTTTCTGGAAGTCCACAGTAATACCAAAACATTTAAAAAAACTTTCAAACGAATCCATTTTCAAATAATTCAAATTATTGCATATTCAACATAAAACTGATTTTTCAACTGAATAATGAGTAAAAATGTTAAAACTGCAATTTATGGTATTTTACATACTGTACACAGTTTTAAAATATCTGTTTTTTGGATCTCCTTACCTTAATGATGTAATTAACACATCTTTAAACAACTGATTGCTGTAATGAGAGCTGAGAAAGTTAAACACTTACAGTACTAACAGTAAAATTGGTTTTATTTACTATTTTTGCCACCTATCTGTACCCTATAACTGTACATTTCAGCAGGTTTGTGTATATACTGTATAATTTTTAACAACGTTCATAACCGTATCGTGTTACAGAAAGGCATTTCAGATGAACAGAACAATGAGACATTCACTAACTGGTATCAAGACATTACTTGTACTTGGCAACCTTTTTGCCTGTCCTGCGAGTCGTCTTTAAATACAGGTCTGACTGAAATGTTATAATAGTCTCTTGGTGATCATGTCAGCATCAGGCAAAGCATCACCTTCAGGCAAAAACAAAACCATGAAAAACCAGTTGTAACGCTGAAAATGAATAAGCTGCATAATCAACTGCAAAAATGAATGCCCTCTTATCACTAACTGCCACCTCCTCACAAACAAATGCTCACATTTTTTCTGCACAATAATGACAAGCAAGTCATTAAAACAACACCTGACAGACTTTTGTTCAGCCAGTCTCAGTGACTGCCACCATTAAAATAAAACACACCACATTAACAGAAAGACAAACTGCCTGTAGAAGAGCTAAGAACAGAAGTGAATGTGACTTCTATAGTCCACTTCTTAAAAGAGCACTAGATTTTTATTACAATGTTTACAATGACTTTTCTGTACACTTTAATTAATGCCCTACACCGACAATATAAATTAAATTAAATATTTCAGTCTTGAAAAGAGAAGTCTACAAGGGGACCCAGTTCAAGTAGTCAAAGTCCTCAGACGCAGTGAGAATGACTTGCAAGTGCAATTAAAACCGAGAATGGGAGACACATGTTTATACACAGAGATGCAGGTGTCGTGGACTAGCATGTTGTTGAAGGTCGCTTCTCTCAAGAAAGGGCTCAACGATATTCTCGGATCAAAACTAATAGCAATCAAAAAGGCTAAAGGGGTATTTCTCATTTGTAACCACTCCTCTGTTTTTTGTAACAGATTCACAGAGGTTACGGCGTTCTACCTTACCATTATGCCAACAATATCGCAGGTTGTCAGGTTTTCAGTTTTGTGATGGAAAAATGTACCACACGAATGTCTTTCCTCACTGGCTGTGGTACATCACGAGAAAATTCACAACACAAAGACTGGATCATCGGCTCTCCATACTCAGGCATCATTCCACTTTGTTTAATGAATGGCAGCTAATTTCGATGCAATTTCCATCATTCAGAACTTTGAGATGGAGGATTTCTTCAGAGACACAGTACGTGCCCTACATACAAAAGTGGCATTGCCCTTCATTAAGAACAATGCTATTCATCAGTTGTTTTTTTTACTTCAGTTGATATTTCTTAGTTATGAAACTTTAAATAGTGATGATAAATATGGATTCATTCTACTGAGAATTAGTGATTCATGTGATTTAGATTTCATGTACAATTACAGCAAATGGGTTAAAGTATCAACTATGATTACTTGTTTGCAACTAGTTTGCAAATGGAAGTGCAGTACAGTGTTGTAATTCTTGGAGTCCATCTTTAGAAAAGGTAAAACATTTTTCATTTTAAAGACCCTTTTGTTTAACACTCAGTCTATCATTCGAAAACTCACAAATACAAAATTGGAAAATATAAATGACTCCTATTACTGACACTTGAGAAGCCAACATTGAATTGAATACCAATAGCCTTTTAAATCAAGATGCACCAAAGAATGCATCTTTGTTTAGGAATATCCAGGCCGTGTAAACATGTACAAGAGGTCCTATGTTTTTCTCAGGGAGTTTTCACAAAGAATTTCTTTGTATAAACTTGCAATCTCCAATTAGTGTATCCCTTTTTGATCCCTATATCATTATTGTTATTCAGTCTGACTCCCTGGGGTACACTGACAAAAACAGGGGAGAATAATAAAAAGACACAAATGCACCCTTAAGCGCTTGCTCCTAAGTACCAATAACATAATTTAGAAAACTCCACAGCACTTCATAAACACAGAAAAAGGCACATGCTCTTCCTGGGAGAAGCTTTTCTTATTTTAGAATGGGCAACTCAAAATAGCACTTAATCTCAACACAGAATCCTTTATCTTTTCCATTCTTCTTCATACACTTTTGAAATAATTTATATTTCTGTTCATAAACTAGGATGTCACCTGCACATTTGGAAGTGATGGTTGTACGTTACTGATTTTCTATCATTTAATTTTTAAGCTCACAGTAGCACAATTTATAGCTATTTCTCTTTGAGTTCCTCCGCTCAGGTTATTGTTAGAATCATTGTGTTTCCTTAAAAAGTCTGACTTTCTATCACAGGCTGCAAGCAATAAACAACACTAAATAAAAGGTATTAATCAATAAAGCCTTTTCGTAAACCAGCCTGCATGTATTTCTACATTTCTACAAGGTATTATTGTGCCAAGAAATGGACAAAACACATAAGGAAGGTTATGAATGGAAGAAGGACAGGGAGCCTATCTAGTTTGTGTCTAAGTGGTACAAGGATATCTTAAAGCCACTTCCTGAAAAAAGCAGTTTTCGGCTTTGATAACACAGATACAGTAGGTAACTTGTTCCAGACCTTATAAACTTTATTTTTTTCATTAAAAAATGCCTCCTCATCTCTGTTCTAAAAGTACTTCCCTATATTTTCCATTGGTGTTCTCTGGTTTGTGTTTCAATGGTGGGTCTACAGTTCTCTTTAGGATGTGGAATATCATTTACTCAAAAAATAAATCCCTAGTAGTCAGTCAGAGTCCCTAGTA